GACTCAGCACCGTGCAAAGAATTCGGGGAGCGATGGCAGGGAACCCGCAAGCTCGGTGCCTGCCTGGCTGGGATGGCCGCCCTACCGGTGACAGCCTCGCTTGCAGTGTCCTGAGCTCCCCCCGCGCGTGTCCGCTCTTAGACTCGTCTACTGACGGGCACTAGGATGGACGGTTCCGAAACAGAAAAGGGGGTCCTGGAGAGCTGAGCCGGAACACGGCCAGAACCTCGGCTTCCTGGGCAACATACAAGTGAGAGCTGCTCTCACCGACCCTGCCCGGGGAACCTCGCGGCCTGGGGAACCCGGCTTTTCCCATTCTGATGGTCACGGTGTGGGGGCGGAGAAGCCCCGCCCCTCGACGTGGGAAACGAGCGTGGGTCACGTGGGTGGGCGGTCGGCGTGGGCGGGGCTGCTCGGGAAGGTGCCGGCGACCAGGTGATGGACATGTCTGGCTCGGGTTTGGACCCTTCGGGAAGAGTATCCTGTACTTGTTATCTTTTTTAAAAATATATACACACATATTTTTATTGATTTCAGAGAGGAAGGGAGAGGGAGAGAGAGAGAAACATCCATGATGAGCGGGAATCATGGAGCGGCTGCCTCCTGCTGGCGGAGCTCGCCACCTGCTCCGTACGGCACCTGCCTTGACCCGAATTGAACCAGGGACCTGTAGGTTGACGGGAGGACTTCCACCAACGGAGCCAGACTGGCCTGGCGCTGTGTTCGTGCCTTGCATTTGTACTTAGTTGTTGCCAGGAGGGAGGGCAGCTGCTGGTTGGCAGGGTATGACTCGCCTAGAACGAGAGCTCAGTGGAGGGGGGCGGCTGGGAGCCGGGGAGTTGGTGTTTCACGGGGCCTGAGCCTCAGTTTGGGAGATGAGAACGTTTCTGAGATGATGGCGGGATTCAGGGTGTGACTGTGCTCCACGCCCAGGCCGCACAGTGAAAACAGCCAAAGGGTGAATTTAACGGTGTCAGCGCCTCGTACCTCCATTGGGCGGGAAAAGGGTTGCCTGATGCTAAGTGTGACTCTTTCAGCGGCAGCTTTGGGCAGGCCTGTCCCCCTCTGTAACATGCGGAGTAGCCCCTACTCCGTGTGTGACCTGTGGACCCGTTTCAAAAGGCAAACGAATTTCTGCTGGAGGCCACAGTTCTCATTTCTAGTTCCATCTGCAGTGTTCCTAGGGGATGAGGGCGGGACCTTGAGGCAAGGCGAGGAGTGCGGGGCGGCCGCCCGGGAAGGGGAAGGGGTCAGCGGAGGGCTAGCCTCACCTGGCCCTGGGAGCTCCGAAGCAGGAATAGCGCCTGGAGGCGAGGGGGCCAGACCGCCCCCATCCGGCCAGCTCCAGGGTTGGATGTGGATGGACCGGGAACAGTTGTCCAGAGAAAAGTCAACGGGGATGCCCCAGGGCCCAGGCTGTGTCAGCTTCGCTGCCGCCATCAGGAAAGGGAGGGACTGTGCTCCTGCCTCCGCCGATTGCTCCAACGCACTCCGGCAACACGTTTCCGTCATGCCCGTCCGCACTCCTCTGCCCTTCTGTTTGTTTATTTATTGTCTAAAGTTTTACATGTCTCCTTTTCCCCAATTGACTCCCCCCCATTCCCACCCCGGGCAAGCCCCCACCGCCCGTGTCTGTGTCCATTGCTTATGCCAATATGCGTGCATACAAGCCCTTTGGTTGCTCTCTACCCCCGCCCCCTACTCTTTTCACTCGGCACTATCATCGGTATTTTACCCCACATTTTACTTAGTGTTTGTCGAAAGATCAGACGGAGGCCGAAAACCAGGTCTGCAGGCTGTATTAGAGGAGCAGGACCTGCCAGGCTGTCTCGCAGGGGAGGACCCCAGCACGGGCAGGGGTGGGCACGCCTTCTGAGGGGCGGAATGGGAAGGGGTGGGGCTTAGTGTACTCGGCGCGCTGATTGGTGGCTTCATGGTCCATATAGGACAAGGGCTTAGGGTATTTGGCAGGTGTGGATTGGTGGTTCAGTGTATAGTCCACATAAGGTGCCTGGTTAGTCCGTCTGAGTTGGGTCCTGGGACCGGAACAAGACGTTCATGCCCAGCCAGCGTGGTCAGTGGTTGAGCATCCACCTATGATCCAGGAGGTCATGGTTCGATTCCGGTCAGGGCATGGGCCCAGGTTGCAGGCAGCTAATCAATAATTCTCATCGTTGATGTTTCTATCTCTCTCTGCCTCTCCCTTCCTCTCTGAAATCAATAGAAATGTATTTTTTAAAAAAAGAAACAGGACGTTCATGGAAAAACAGCTGAAACCCTGTGATGTCTGGTGTGGCGTTAACAGCATTGTGCGGGGGTGGTTTTCATGGCTGTGGCATGTACCGTGTTAACATCGGGGTTCACGGAATTCCCTGAGCTACCTTTGCAACACTTCCGTCAATTTGAAATGATCCAAAATGGCAAGCTTGCCACAAATGATTGAGACTCAAACAGAAGTCTGCAGACCCGTGTTCACAGCAGCCTCACTCCCCGTAACCAGAAGGGGGAAGCACCACAGCGTCCGCCCAGTAAATGCATGGGCAGCACGCGGCCCACCATGCGATGGGATCGTGTTCGGTCTTGAAAAGGAAGGGCATGCTGACTCCCGCTGCCGTGTGGATGGGCCTGAGGACATGCTGGTGAGATCAGCCAGACACACGAGGACACACTGTCTGACCCCGCTCCTGCGGGGCTGGGGAGTCAGCTTCTCGGAGTGGAGCAGAGGGTGAGGCCGGCTGGGGTGGGGTGAGTGTTTAATGGGGACTGAGCCTCAGGGTGGGAAGATGGGAAGCTCTGGAGATGGTGGTGGGACGGCTGCCCAGCAGCGTGAGTGAGTCTGCGCTCTGCCCTTAAACATGCGCACGTGGCAACTTGTACCTGTGTGTCCTGTACCACCACCCAATGCTGGTTAAAATGTCGCAAGGGTGTCCTGCCAGCTGGCTGGGTGGCCTCGGCAAGGGTGCTGAGAGGACAGGGCCTTGGTCTTTTCTGGGGCGGATCTGCCCCTTTGGGGGTGAGGATCCCGAAAGAACTGATGAGTCGGCAGGAGACAACTCGTCTACAGGTGGCGCTCTCGCCGCTCCCGTTAGAGGGCTGGGCTGCCTTCCCTTTCCCTTCGCGTTTCTAACCAGCAGGCAGCTCCGTTGTTTCTCCTGGAAATTTCCCCTGAACGCGGCTGTCTGTGGTCACAGAGCGGGGAGAGGACAGGATGGACGGACTCAAAGGGTCCAGCGTCGCCCCAGGCTTCTGAATCCACCGCCTCGCCTGACCCACACGCCCCCGCCTTCAGCAGGCTGGGTGGGCAACCTCCTGGGACCTCCTTCAGGTGCGGGGCAAGGGCAGGAACCAGACAATCCTCGCCCCCCCCCCCCGACCTCCGCACGCCCTTTACCTGCTCCGAGCAGGTTCCCAGGTGTGGCTCAGTGGTCAGAGCATTGGCCCACGCACCAAATAGTTGTCGGATTGATTCCCAGGCACGGGCACACACCTGCGTTGCAGGTTCGCTCCCTGGCCACAGTGGGGCAGGATGCAACCAACCCATGTGTCTCTCACATCAGTGTTTCTTTCTCTCCCTCTCCCCCTCCCTCCCTCTCCCCCTCCCTCCCTCTCTTCCACTAAATAAAAATAAAAGTAAATAATATCCTCAGGTGAGGATTAACAGGAACAGAGAATGCCGCTGTGCGGAGTATGCCAGGCACCAGCCAGCCTTCCCCCACACACCCCCATCCTTCACCTCCTCCCCCTCCCCCCGCTCGGGGGAGGGTATCCGTCACTGCCAGGGGTGCTAAGACCTACTGAGCTCCTGCTCCGAGCCAGGCAGCGCCTTAAATACTTTACAAACGTCACTCACTTCATCTTGGCGCTGTGGGCGGAAGGGGCCACACGCTGACCTGACAGCTCAGGGAGGCCTGCGTGGCGGTCCTGCAAACCCATCAGAGACCTAAAGTCACCACAAAGGACGGCCTGAGAATTAACTATTGAACTACAAACAGGTTACGGCGGGTAGTCGTGTCCTCGGCCGGAATTCTCCCTGACAAAGATCAGCTGAGGTCTGTACTGAGCCCAGTTGTCTGTTTGCCTCCAAGATAACGGGTCGGTGGGATGTCTGGGTAACTTCTAACTTCCCTTTTTTCCGGACCCCTCGGGCACGACCAATGGCACCAGGACCTTCCCTCATTGTTACTGTTACCGAGTTAATTGCCGTTAACTACGTTAAACTGTCCTGTATCCGTCTACAGCAAAGAAGCACATGTCCGTCATTTCACTTGTTGCCCTATCCCAGAGTTTCCCCCCTTTGCTTTCTCCCGCCTCCTTCCTCTGCCACGAATGGATTTCATGTGACCCGCCTGCGTCCCTTTCCGTTGGTTGCGATGTATAAATGCCGATGTGACCCGCCGCCAATCTCCGGAGCATTATCTCAATTCGTTGAGGTTCTGCTTCCTGGCTTATGTCGACAGTTTGGCTCAAATAAACTCACAAAAATTCTTTACAGGTTTCAATGATTTTTTACGTTAACAGCACCCTGTTTTATTGATTTTAGGGAGAAGCGGGGGGGGGGGGCCATCGATTTGTTGTTCCACTTATTCATGCATTCATTGGCTGATTCTTATTCATTGGCTGATTCCCGTATGTGCCCTGACCAGGAATCAAACCCGCAACCTTGCCGTAGGGCGGGGGGCACTCCAACCAGATGCGCTACCGGCCAGGTCTTCTGGGTATTTTTTGACACGAAGAGAAGCACAGAGTGGTAGTCTCTCATTTCCCTGCATCCAGATTTTTAATCGCTTACATCTGATCACATTTGTCTCCGAAGTTTTTTCTAAGGAAAAACAGGGCCTCGAGGTCCCCTAAATCCCATGTCCTCCCTGTTAGGCTGGAGGGAAGTCCAGGAGCCAATGCATGCACCGGGCCGATGGCGACATAGATACTGGTTCCTTCCTGGGACCCGTGACGTACCTGCCCGCGACGGGAGCTCCCACAGCTCATGCTCCCCGCCCTCACTGAACAGCTGTATAAAAAAACACCTCCACTCCCTCTTGGCCCCACCCTTGGACCCGTGAACCTCGCCCGGGAGTGCAGATTAAAGCTCCTCCTTTTTGATTTGCCTGGGTCTCTGACTTTGTCTCCTGCGCCGCGAACCTTACACTCCCCCCGCCTCAGAAGAAGCCATCATGTATGTACCAGTAACATGTATGTCCTGCGGGCACTTTTAATGGAATTTTCACTGATCTAATTGTGGATTCGCGTGCAGGTGTGAGAAATGACGGCCCAGTTTCCCTAATGGTACGAAGCGGCGGTGTCATGTCCAGGCCAGGACACCGGGGGCAGCGACACGACCCGCGGAGCTTCTCTCAGGTTACCCGTCCACGTCCATTTGCAGGTATGTCTTCAAATGTGCGCGAACAGTAGACTGTGCACAGCCTCCTGCCATGTCCTTCCTCCCGCAGACACATTGCCGAGCCCGCCCGTCGCGGTGCAGGCCATGCCAGCTCACGCGTGTGGGTAGACGTGCCGCCATCTGTCTTTCATCATCCAGGACGCCAAGGGGGCTGGGTGGGGGCTGGCGGGACGGGCGGCACTACGGTGAGGAGCCTTGCGGTGTCTCCAGGAGCCATCGCTTGGAGCATGAGCAGAAGTGGGATTCCTGGTCACCGGACGCCTGCATCCGACCCACCGGACGTTAGCAGGCTGCCTTCAGGCTCGCCCACTTCCCACTTGCTCCCGCAGCGCAGGGCTGTGCGCCTCTGCTGGTCGGTGCCGCAGGGGCCTGTGTTGCTGTTCGGACTTGCGTTTCCCTGGAGTAAGAAGGTTTCCGGCTTCAGCAGAAAAGGGAAGTGTTCACCTGAGTCTGG